TTTGAAATGTATTAAGCTGTTACATTGTTTTTTAAGCTATAAGATTGTTGACGTAATCAAACAATTTTATACGAGTATACTGATACCGATTATATTTTAAAAAAATTACATTCTATGTCAATTCAAAAAGAAGAGGAAAATTTTCTATAAATTTAACCTTCGGGAAGTTATACATGTTATTAAATGTTTATCTACTCAATAAAATTACCTTTAATCTAAAATATAGTAAAAGCTAACGTTTCAATGAAATTCTATAGGTACTTGATTTCATTTTAATTTTAAAGTTTAAAAAAAATTATATTTCAAACATGTCTTTTATTTAGTTATTAATACACTGAATTTTATTAAAGCCCTATAAATGCATTAAAAACATCAAAAAATAAAAATAAAATGATGTACAAATTTTTTACGTTATGAATCATATTTAGAACAAATATACTTTCGTTTGAACTCGTAAAAAATCAAAAACCATAATAATCCGTACTTCAATAATATTACCAATATAACGAGATTATATTTTAGCTTTAATATTTTTTTTAATATAATTTATTATTAAATCATATGAAATCTATGTAAATTTTCGTCAAACACAAAACAATTTTTAATATAAAAATTATATAAATAATAAAAACTTACATTTATAGTAATCGAAAACATATAAATATATTATTATTGCAATTATACAAGGTAGGTACCAAAAAAAAACAGGACATACAATGCTGTATTTGGCATTTCATATGTTCTAACTTTAAACAATAATAGCAGTAATTAAGTTATGAAACCAAAGATCTTTCTTATGGCTGTCAATCCAAAATGGCGAGGAGATGAAGGGAAAGTACCAGAAAAATTAGTTTGGGTCGTTTGTGATTACTCTGTATCTAAATTGCATATTCGAGACGCCGTGTAATCAAAATTATAGTAATATTTTCGAAATACCCTTAACAATAAATTAATAAAATACTGTATTATCGTTTAAAATACCAATAAAATAAATCCAGTGGTAAAACTAACGCCAGGGCAAAAAAAATTGAAAAGTCGTGCTGAAAGTGTATACCCACGTACTCAAGTCGGGCGTTATGGATATGAATGTTGTACAGTGACATAATATATAATAATGTAGTATATTTTATCACGTTTTGAAATTTAAATCGCTGTCATCGCATGGCATTCAATATACTGTTACGAATTCTATTACGGAAGAAACAATACATCATCGTCGTTGTCGTCATCATCGTAATCATATTATTACGCGTATAATATGTTTTGAAGTACAAAGTAATAGTTCTACTGAATTTGTTTGATTTGTTATTATTTTTCTCGTATTCTATCTCAAGTTTCAGTTGGCAAAACATACAAATGATGGATGTGTTCTACAAAAATATATACAGGTCACTTTATTGCTATTATCTTATGCTAACAATTTATCTGTACTTGAGTGGTCGGGTTCTCATTTATTATAATCCTTATTGTACACGATTTGTTCTTATTAAAATACGGACATACGGTGTTGTCCATTATCTAAGTTCAGTATTTAATTGAACTTAAATGTCAAATTCGAAAAAAATTAATCATACGGTACCAAATTTTATAAACGAAATCTGATCACTTTTATGTAGAATTATCATTTATCAGTCAATATAATAATAGTTTAAAAAAATTACTGTTTTAAAATTAGCAAAAATTAAACATCAAAAATTTTACCAATACAGCCTATTCAAAAATCAAAATCGTTTAAATTATAAATTCGTTTAAAAGATATAATTGACTAATATTTGTATTTAGATATTTATATGATAGATTCCGTTAAAATGATATGACTAACTAATTCTAATACAAGAATCTATAATAGTCGATTAAAATATTTAAAATTATTAAACTATGACTAATGATTGCTGTTTAAAAATGCTGTGAGGCACAAAAATAAATAATTTAGATATCTTATATGAATGTATCATTATTATTCTAAGTATTAAATACTATACAAAATAATTTTATGTCTTATACCAAACTAGATTAAGATTAAATTGGTTAAAAATAAAAAAATATACATTTAGACTAGTTAAAGAATTCTAATTACCACTACAGTTTCATTGAAAAGGAAAATATGATATAATAGTATACAATATTTATTTTTTTATTTTTTCCGTTTTTTTGATTGTATAAATAATAAAAATTAAAATAATTAAAATAATATAATTATAATGATAAAATTTCACAATTACACAACTTACTATTAAAATAACTATAATGGTAAAAAATTAGAGGAAAAAAAAACAAAGATGGGTGTTCAAAATTTCTTACATCTTAGTTTTAATCTTATAATAGAGCTTTCAATAAAATATATTAATATTTATAGAATGTGTATTTATATATTTGTATTCTTAAATAATTTATGTTCAAAAACACTACTTTCCGGAAATATAATAAAAACAGCAACTAACAATGCAAATTTAAATTTAAAAACAAAAAAAGCTATATATTATATTTAAATTTGTAATTTTGTTTTATTTTAGAATTTATACACTTAGAAAATCGAATTCCATACTATAACAATATAATATAATATATGAAAAACAGTTGTTTTATTTGGAGTTCCCTATACAAAGCCTATTATAGTATTACACTATAATTAATGCACTTTTTTCAATTTAAAAATTATTTTACTTTACATTTTTAAACTAAAATTTTGCATTTCACATTTATAAGTCTATACAATTGTTATATTATCCACATATTTATTTAGCTTAAAAAAAAATGATTAAATAAAGAATCGTATTGTGATGTATAATTTTATTTATTTTTTTAACTAAATGAAATAATAATAAAACTTACAATAAAATACTATTTAACATGAAGATTCTAACAAAAATAATCATATTCTTATACTTTATTCCAATTTATTTTACTGTAATATGATATCATTTTTAAAAATATTCAATTCAATAATTTTTAGGGTAAAAATTGAAAATAATTTATTTTTTACATTTAAGTACAATATTTAAACTTAATAACAATGTATAATATATTAATTATAGTATACATATTTAATTATTTTATATATAAGGTATATTTTTAATCTTATAAATTTATAAATGAAAACCAATAATTTATGCATAATATTACATTGACAATACCAATTAGTTATTATATTTTTTTAAATAATAAACTAACTAAATTTTTAGATAAAAATATACTAATCGACTCGGGTAACTATTTAACTTTGAGCAAAGAATGTAAGAATAAGAAAAAGATTTAAGTAAAAAAATTATAATTATTTTTAAAGGAATTAAGTATGAGTGTATGACAATAGTCTGATTACAATAGAAGACTCAATCTAAACGTTCCTAAGTATAATAAAACAATTGTATTAGATATTAATTTTATTTTATAAAATATTTTTTCGTAAAATTAATATTTTCATAGAAGATAAAACCAAAACTCTGGTTAAATTTGATTACGTCAACGTAGTTCTATTAATAATACATTCAACAGTTATTAGTTATTACTTATTAGTTACTACCTACAAAATTCAAGATAGGTATAATATAATATCTGCAGTAGAAATGTTAACATAATTAAAGGTAGTTCAATAGTTTCAGTCTATCATTAATATTCACTCAAAATATGATCAATAAAAGCTTTACAATATATATTAAATTAACACAAACTTCTCATTATCTTTTACTTTATATTATATGATATCAGTCACAGGAGCGTGTAAATAAAAATAAATTACAATATTCAAAAATTTTCGTTTTTTTCGCTCTATTTAGGTATGCGTACAAATGGTTTAAATTTATCTTTATTGTCATTTTATCGAATATTGTCTCAAAATTTATCTCATTTTCGATGATATAAACGTATAAGTACCTAATTAACTAGAAAAATTATTTGCCTGATAAATTCATACCTAATTTTCGATGATTATTTAAAACATAACTCATAATTAGGTAAGTGGATGTTACAAATTCAAATTTTCAATATTGATATTTCTACAAAAATGTTTTTAAAAAAAAGTTAACTATTTGTCAAATCAACGGTTACACTCGGAGTTTAATATACAGTAGCTTAAACTTATTACTCGCACATATTTTCTGAACGTTCACTCACTCTATAGAGACTAAAATATGTATAATAAATAACACAGATAAAGTTATCAATACAATCTTAACAGACCAGACACAATATATGAAATATACATCAAATAATTTTTTGGTAACTTTTTTGATATTGTAGAACTTTATTTTCACCACAAATGTTGTTAGTTATTACTTTTGTGCTACTAACTATAATTCAATAGCACAACTCTAGGCAATATTTTTACTGAGGTAAAAGTTTGCTAGAAAACTTATTCTGTTGGTGGCATGAAATTAGAAAAAAAAACTCTGCTGGTAAAAATAAAGTTCAACAAAATCTCGGAGTGTTCTAACAGTGTTCAATAAAATAAACTTAACATTTTTTTTATTTGGGAAAAATGTCGCATACATACATATTGTTACGAGTACAGATAATTGATAATCAGTGTAAACACTATAATAATAACAGTACACATATAAATAAAAAATGATAAATTGTATATTATTTTGTTGAAATATATTGTCGTTTTTTAAATAACAACAATATTATTCGATATCGAAATAAATTATTAAGAATACTTTCGTTGCTGTCAAATATTTTTTTTAATGGATTAAGAAGTGTATTTTTTTTCGACATATGTATTTTATTTACATACCTTTTGTTGATAATTTAACACACTTCATTCGAATTACTTGTTCATGTGGTGAGGTGATGATATAATAAGCTATTATGATACTTTTAACATTTTTAATAATAAATAAAATAATCTTAACATTTTTGAAAATCTAAATTTTAAGACATAAAAATAAAAATAACATGCCATCAAAATCCCAACCATAATATTATAATATTTTATATTCGTCAAAATTATTTTAAAACACACTGACATTTTACTAAAAATTACGATTAATTTTTTTTTTCAGGACTACCTAATGATCTTAGCGTATACTGGCAACAGTATCCATGGCCTTTGGGTGAAGTTCTCTGTAAATTTCGTGCTTTAGTTTCAGAAATGTAAGTATCTAAACAATGTTAATAAAAAAAGTTTATGTTTAACCAATGTTTAAATTATAAATAATGATTTACATAGATTAAAATTTCAAAAGTCAATTTCTATGTAGATCGATATAATATAATAATACATTCAAATATATATTTTATAATTGACAAAAATAAATCTAACTAAAATTAATCATAAACAGAATGATTGAATTTTTAATTGTGGAGTATGATTAATTTAGCTAGTTTTTGTCACATAATCAAACTTTACTAATTTTAATTTCAACAAAACATATTATCATCCTTTTGTATTAGTAAATTCCACGAATGTATACTATATTTAATGAAAATCATTAATTTTAAATTACTTTAGTAAACTTTAATCATCGGTTAACCACCAAAAATTCTTTATGCCCGATATCGTATTAGGTGTTTAATAATAATTATTAGTATTATAATATCACATCATAATTATTTCCGATCTATTTATTTCTAATTATCTGCAAGATAATAATAATATATTTCATTATACCCACCAAAACGCATACAATAATGAATGTAATACGGTACGTTATGACTTATGACTTATGATTTGTCTCATATCTATTATTATTATAACCTGTATACAGGACTTCGTATACGTCAGTGTTGACCATCGTGGCATTTTCGATGGAAAGGTATTTGGCCATCTGTCATCCCCTCCATTCATACGCCATGTCCGGATTGAAGAGAGCTGTACGAATAATTGCAGTCGTTTGGGTGATTTCGTTTTTTGCCGCATTACCGTTCGCCATGTTCACTACGGTCGACTATGTGGATTTTCCACCGGGTAATAAATAGATTTTAATAATAATAAATTAATTCACGCTGAAGTATTTTCGCTGGTTGGTTCTTCCCTCAAGTCACTCAAGCCACTGCAGCATACAAAGAAAATAATCAATTATACTTATTGTACATTTTTTATTGTATAGATTGTATAAATTCTAGATTAAAAATAAAAATACCATAAAAAATATGCTATGTACAATGTTCATAATATCGTCGCTCAAGAAGCAATACCATTTATCTCAGTTTTATCAATAATAGACACAATTTAATTAGCACGGAGATGGGTGGTGTTGTCTTAAGACTTTAGATATACTGAGTTATTATTTTTTTTCGATTAACACGTTATCTATTTACTTTTAAAAAAGTATAGTGACATTGGTTTGCAAACTGCCGATTACACCTGCTGTAAACATGTTTTATTCAACTTCATGTCAGAAGATTTGTACGAAGTAGTTCAGGAATAAATCAAGAATCACATCGTTTCGAGTCGAGAAGTGGTCATATCATTAAATATTTCATTGTAGGCATATTATAATAGTATAAAAATTGCGCGTACTAGCGCTACAACTGCTTACATATAAATATGATTGGTGTAAATTGGGTTTTCAATAAGTGGAACGTAGCTATTACGTCGAAGGCACACGATATCGGTGCCGGTGAATGAGTGTTTACGAAGATATCACCAGAGGTCAATCTTCCAGACGAAAAACTCGACGTCGTCGGACGTAAAAACGTAGTTTTATTCGGCATCCAGAGTATTGTGGATTTCGTGTCGTTCAGTTGAACGCGACTAGCAAAGAAAACAAAAGTTCAAAACGAAAGCGGCGTCGTAACAGACGCGGAGCGGTTTTTTGGTGTCACAAGTGGTGGGAGACGAGATCATCAGTAAAAATCGAGAAACATAAAATTATAATCGAAGTATTCGCATACATATAAATAATACAAAAACAAACAAATACAATAAAAAAATAATAAATACGAATAAAAAAAAAAATTATATAATTCGCGTTGCGAAAATGGTAACTTTGATTGAAGGCACAAAATAAGTGGTGACAAAGCGTTATCGTATCACCAAAAACTTTATTTTAAATCTAAGATACGGTCGATTCTGCGAGAAATTTCAAATAAAACAGTGTTGCTGACTAAATTTTACCAAAATATAAGTTAGGTAGTGTTGATTCTTAAGCGACGATATTTTATTTTGAATTTGTTTAGTTAACGCTAGGTATCCAATATTTATTTAGATATATTAAATCCTTATTTTGTGTTTTATATATAAAAATAAAAATAGTAAAAAAAAAAAATTAATTGTTGAATACAAAAGGCCTACATTTAATTTCATTTAATCAACATCTTTATTCAAGTTAATTTAAAAACAATAAATAAAAATATTGTTTGACATTAATTTTTTTGTTGCTACTTTATTTGTTTTCAAAGCATGTATATCACATATTTCAATATATTTTAGTGCTTTAAAATCTGAACCCAGATTATAAATTTACTAAGCCAACTAATTGATTACTCGTTCAAAATTTTATTTTACGAATTAAAATTTTCAGAAAAATACTCCGCTTGAATATGAAATAAAAAATATATTCTACTGTAATCCAAAAAAATAAGCAGCTTAAAAGCAATAAAAAGATTATGTTATGTTAAATTTTTATAAATACAACCATAATATCATGTTGTCTTATGATAACTTCAAATTATGTAAAAAAATAAATATATTTACAAAAAATGGTTAATATTATTAGAAAAAAAAACAATGTCCTTACATTATAAAGTTACTTATCACTCTACATACTATTATTTAATAATATATTTCTTGGATATTCGCACTATCCTATTTTGCGTTAATATTTTAGTATTAATTGTTTTATTATTAGTATTAAAACAAAACACGATTTCTCTTTATACAGATTATAAATGCAGATGACAATGTTCCGTGTATAAATAATCGTATTGCTTGTACGCGACTTCGTCGAGAATATTATAATAGTTACTGAACCAAATTAAATATTATATATTATTCAAGGGTCAGGATATCCGCTGTACGAGAGCGCGTTTTGCGCGATGCTGGATAAGAACGTGCCTACAGGAGTCCCTGTATACGAGTTGAGCTCGCTGCTGTTTTTTCTTGTACCAATGATGATCATTATTGTGCTATATGTGCTCATCGGACTCCAGATCAGACAGAGTTCTAGACACTCGCTGGGAAAACAAATGACGGGAAACGTGCACGGGGAGACAAAACAAATTCAATCGAAAAAGTCAATAGTCAGGATGCTAGGTAACTATATTATTGCAAAAAAGTCATTACAAGAATAGTTATCAATACAATCAAAATTATAGTTCTTATATATTTTTGAATATTAATACCTATCTATTTTCAATCACTTGTAAGAAATTAAAAAATAAAAATTAATAATGATATCTACTTTGTGAATACCTATAAGTATAAATTATATTATTATGTATTGGTAATTTATAGTAATATCATATAAATATTTTGATAAATCAAAATTAAATTTTATTCGTAGATTATAATAGCAATTTACACAATACACCAGCGTCTTTTTCAATTATTTATTAATTTTTAAGACGTTAAAGATAACTAGATTACATATTAAATGTATGACTCGACCGAAAAATTGTTGATATCTGTCAACAACTATAAACGAGCATTCTATAAAATATTATACGATTGAACTACATTTTTATGATGACTACATAACTCATTTAAAAAATTTAAATTAAATAGCATATGTAAGCTATCCTATAATAATTTTATCAAAATAAATTCCAACATAAATCATGTAATAATTGGTTAAAAATACATTTAGTTTTGATTTTAAATTTATATGATGTCACTTTCATATAAAACAAATTAGGGAATGTTTAAAAAAATCAATTTAATTTGAAAAATAATTACAATTTGAAATGAAATGAATTAAACGATAGTAAATTTTTAAATGGCAACTTGTTTATACAAAATATGTAATATATATTATAATTACCAAATAAAAATATTCAATTCTACAAAAATATAGTTAATACAGAATGAATTTTTAACATAAGGTGCTTTTTTGACCAATTGTTATGAATTTTTACAAACAAAATTAAAACGATTTTTTCCTCCCACATTTGATGTATTGTTGATGCGTATTATTATTATCTAATGAAATTAACGATATTATCATAGATAGTAACGCGATAAATTATAATTAATACCTCGGTAATCGTTAAGGTATTAAAATAATTGTTGATCAATACCCATTCTGTTATAAATAGCAATTATAAAACTGTAATTAAAGTAAAATATAACAGGGACGTATAGGTATAGTATAATTGATACACGTCTCAAATGAATCATTAAATAAAATTTAAAATATATTACACTCTTATATTAAATATATGCTATTGGGAAGAAGGGGTAATTTTTAATTATTTAAATAAAAAGGAATAGTAATAAGAATGCATTTCATTAAGAACCGTCTAGTAATGATAATAATTCAAGAGCTAAAACAATTTGCTAAAGCTTTAAGAAATTTACTATAAATTCAAAACATTGATATCTTAATACAGGTATACATCCTACTCAACAGCCGTATTAAACAATATATTATCATCCCGAATATTCACGACTATGAGCACCTCCAAATAACGTTTGTTTCTATATTGTATTCCGGTATTCAATCAGATCCGGCACCAGATATTTTAGTTAATTCGGATGCAAGTTATCTGCTTAAAATACTTTTTATCATAATTGGTCATTTGTGAAATAACATTGAGTACAGTTACAGTTTTGTCAGTTTTGCCCCCCCCCCCCCAAACACCATAACATCATAATAATTTAAATACAATTGACTCTCAGGGGTGTAACTATCAAACCTCGCTATTTTGTCGAGTATAAAAAAACTTCTCAGTCAGCAGATGACTTAATCTTATCAAGATTCGATAGTATAATAAATAATAAAATAATAATTTTATAATATTATAATGTACAACGCGGTTTGCAGCTGCTGTCGTCATCGCGTTTTTCCTGTGCTGGGCGCCATTCCATGCGCAACGGTTGCTCTACCTGTACGCCAAGGACTCGCCGTACTACCCGCAAGTCAACGAATTGCTGTACACAATCGCCGGTTGCTTCTACTACTTCTCGTCGACGGTCAACCCGATACTCTACAATCTCATGTCGATGAAGTACAGGAGGGCATTTCGGGAGACGCTGTGCGGATACTCGGGTGACCAAAGGAACCGTATGTCCCGGGAACTGCAGTCGAGTTTCCGGGACACGACCGTGCCTCTGAACACGACGATCACCACCGCCGAGTGCAGCCGCAAGTCAGTGGTGCACCGGTCCACGAGAAACCTACAACAAACTGAACCATCGTATAACCATCACCACAATCATCATCATTATGCAGCTGCACCATTACTCGACGATTGCAGTGGCGGCCGCCCGCCTGCGACGGCCTCCGACGTGCTGGTGATGATCTCACCAGTCAACGGAAATGCACAGTGCTACAAAACGTTGCTTAGGGTGACTGTTCAAGGTTCCGACAACAAGCCCGCCGCTGCCATACAACACGGTAACTGCAACAGCAAACTGCAGATGCAAGGCTGCAGCGAAACACAAACCGAAAACCCGCATTGCACAGAAGTGGAGACTTGCATTTAACGCGGGATTACAAGCGAAACCAGATCATAATAGAATATTTTGCATGAACATTAAACATAATATAGTGCGTGTTGCACGTTTCTCTTTTATATAGGTCAACGTATTGCTCGTTTTCCTTTTAAGATATAGTATTATTATACATATAGAAACACAATGATTCACCGAGCGTGCTCATCCCAATTTTTTTTTTTCGTTTATATTAGTAGTTATTAAATAGTTTTTATAACTTTAAATTATATTTACTTATAAAATAACAACTTCAAATACTTAAATATTTTATGACATTTATAAGGAGTATCTTATGACAGCGATACTAACACTGTTTTTCAAACCACAACCGTCATTTTTATCGTAAACTTTTAAATAGGTAAATCATTTTTTTTTTAACATTACCTAATCGAAATTTGAACTAGTAATTTCCGAGTTATTAAACTTTATGTACTAAGAATAAAAATTATAATTAGTTTAAAAATATGAGGGCTACTTATATTTTATGTGGATTCACTAGAGGCTTCTATATCCTGTTCGGTTTGCTTATCAAACCCCCTTTAATTTTTTTCTCGGAAAAAAAAAATGAATAAATGAATAAAATTTTAAATATAATACACATATTACTTTTCTAACTCAATAAATACAAATATTCACTCTTAATTAGGTACCTCGTGAAAATTCAACGTTTAATTGAATATGTGTAAATATAATGAGAAAGATAATTGCAAAGATTATTAAAACTTTAATGCATAAAGTTTAGTAATTAAGAAACTGTTCATTCAAAATCTAATCATTTATCAAAGTTTAAAAAAAAAACCAATATGCTTAAAAATTAACAGAATAAAAATCTGATATTCATTTTAAAAAAAATGGATATTGTAATCGCCAAAGCACACTTTCTGATTACATTATTACACATCCCAAAATCTGAAAATATAATTTTTAGCATACTAAATAATTCCAAATATCAAGATATTTAAGTAATGAGTTTTCAAGAGAGTGAACATGCTTGATACATCACACGATACTGATTGATTTTTTATCGAACAACATTCATTTTTTTCAAAAACGATAATATATTTTTGAAATAATGAATAACCATTCTATCATCTTAATGATATATAAAGAAAATCACAAATATTTTATTTTATTAAGCCTATGGTTAATAGTTTCGGCAGTAATTCCCTGTAAATTGTTAATCTAGACAGACAACAATCATTGTCATTTAATTAATGAATTATTCCCGAAGAGAAAAACTTCGGTTTTTTTCCTAAAAAATTGAAATTATAATATATTAAAAAATATAAGCGGAAATTCAACTTTTTTTTTTTTTGTTATCGGTTTATAATATAATAAATATTAATACCGTTTATTCATATTATTATGTTAAATTCACGATTATTGCAATATTTGTAAATTTCAATTTTACTTTATCTGCCGCTCTTTTTTACATTAGGTGCATAATAATTACATGCACTTATAGCCACACTTCGACATTTCACCAATGTTTGTGTATAATTTACGTATAATATACTATAATAATATTACGATTATTATTAAATATTACTATTTATCGTTATATACACTTATACATATTAACTCGATAACATTCCATCCATAATTATTTATTAAACAAATTTTGTAAATAAAGTTTTTATTCTTAGGTATATCAACATATTTAACTACATATAATATTTTCCTAATTAATTAATTTCTCGTGAAATCTAATTTGTCTAATTAATATAATGTGTGTTGATCAATTCTGAACAGGATGACAAAAATATATTTATACGTTAAATTACAATGTTTCATTTAATCACTTGAAATTAAAATTACTCTATTGAAATACAAATGCATTAAATTGATGATATCATATTGATTGCCTACTTTGAATATTGTTTTTGATATTTCATTAATTCATCCGTTGAAAAAATACGAATGAGTATACTTAGCTTAGGCGTGCGAGTGATATATACTTATTATCTTAAACTGTTCTAAATCATTTATTTTTTTCAGTTTAATATTACAATAATTAGGTACCCAAAATACTTAAAAATTATTTCCACGGTGTTCTTAAACAATATTAAAAAATATGTCTTACAAGTTAAAATTTAAACTCAATGCCCAAAACAACACCAATGGATAGTATATAATAAGTAGCAATGTAATATCACGTGTCCACCTTTTTAATTATGTATTATTGCACCTGAATAATTCATAAACAAACATTTTCTCAAATAACATAAATATCCAAATTTTTTTAATATGTTACTTTAACACAATATGGTTATGAATTGAAAAAATATTTATGAAATTACATAAAAATATCAACTAAATGTATATAATCAAATAGTCGTAGTTGAACGATGTACCTAAGTAAAGTTGTAAGTACAAAACATATAAACTACAATAACAATCCATCTTTAATTATTTTGATTTCTTGAATAACTATACACAGAGCGTAACAAAAAGTACTGATAAATGTGGTTAATTAACTAAATTACAATAAAATGTATTTCAATCAATATTTTTAAATAGTTTTTATGCCTGAATAGAATTTTAAAAGTAATTCATTGATTATAACAAAAGTTACTTGATCTATCAATTCTTTCTGCACACTTTTTACATACATAACATACACAGTCTTTTCCAAAAGTTCCCGAAATAAAAAAATAAAAATAATGTAATGTAAAAAAAAATTTATTCAAAGTAGTTCCCTCCCACTTCAATAAAACTGTATTTTCAAGTCTTCTATGGCCTTCTAAAACACTTTAACTGAAATGGTCTTTAACTTATAGGTTACGGCTTTTTGGATATCCTCAATGCTTTCAAATCTATTCCCTTTCAAATCCAATTTGAATTTTGGAAACATGAAATAGTCCGTGGGGGGGCTTCATTCTGATGAATGTGGTGGGTAGTGTATAGTTAGGACGCGTTTAACAGCTAAGAACTATTGGTTAATAGCACCCTTGTGTGCGGTTGTATTGTCATACGAGTACAGGATGAAAAAATCGCGATATTCGAATTTTTCGGTACGAACGCAGACAATGCGTTTCAAAAGTTGTTTCAAAACACCTTTATAAAATATACCAGTTACTGTAGTACCCCAAGAAAAAATTCTTTATGAACAAATCTGGTAATCGAAAAAAATAATCAGCATTGTCTTGACACGTGACTTTAGATAACGCCAACCAATCCACTCGTAAACAGCTGTTTTTTAAACACAACTCGCCATAAGCTTTTTGTAACATTTCAAACGAATTTTTAACGGATAATCCAGCTTTTAGAACAAAATTTGATGGCCGTATGTTGTTTGATTAAATTATCCATGTTTGATTTATAACCGATCAACCCTAAATACCTTTACTAAAACCACTGTCAAACTACGACAAACGCAGGTATATAGAAACTTGAAACTTGACATGCATATTCATCAAAGATCCTAATTTTAGTAATTTAAATTTTATAAAAATCCCGCCGCTGGTACTATTTTTATCACTTCATTTCGAAAACTTTTGGGGTGGACCTTACATACACATACACTACTTATGACTAATATCATATAATAAGTGTACATACCCAAGAGGTTTGAATTTTTAAAAAATTAAATTTTCCCTAAAGTTGTGTTTCAAACCACATGAATCTTAAATTATAAAATATTATATCCGAAGTAATATTAAAATAAATAGACACTCATATTTCTCCTCTTACTTACTCATTATCTCTCTCTCACTCTCTTTGCCATAATTTATTATTTCTCTGTAATAGCTAGTTTACTAAGCAAAAAAACACATTTGATATAATTATACAAAACGTATAAAATCTACAAGTTACAATTAATTATCTTGCATTGCTTGATTAAAAGAGCCATTATAAAATTATTACATTTGTTTATCGGTTAATATATTTTAAAAAAAAATACCTTTAAGTTAATATAAAATGTAAATGTAAATTAATTAACTTATTGTTGTATACGCAGAGTAATTCACCGAGCATTTTATCATATACGAGATCAGATGAGCTAGTGTTTATAATGAAATGCAAAAGGCAAAGAAAGCTGTGGGTCTAATTTAAAACGTCATAAACAGAATGATTCACCAACCATATTCACCCAAAGGCTATCCTTTAACAATGCATTTATTCAAATTATATTTATTTTTTTTAATTTGAAGTATACTTACAAACCAAATATTTTAAGAACTTAGATTTGTTATACCTTTTAACAATTAATATTATAGTTATACAAATGAAAAACACCCTATTTACTTTAAATTGTTAAGTAAATACCTAATTTTTTATTTTTTTTCTATTGAAATAAGTACTTTTTGAGTTATTTAATTATATATCATAAAAATAATACTCTTTATTCTCAATTATTTAATAATTATAATATATAAAATATAAAATACATATAATATAACTTATATAACACTATAATTCTTATTAGTTGTTACTTATTATACTCGAACAGTTTAAACAAATCATAAAATAGCAATAAATTTATACCAATTACTATTATTTTTAAAACATTATAGTCTCCGTATTTTCTAAACTTATTAGCCTTATTTGTATCTGAGTTTAATAATTCGGAAAGTACTGGTTCAAATTTCGATTTATACTCATCAAAATTTAAAAAAAAAATCATTTATTTATAATAATTTACAAGAAAAACGGATCTTCGAAAAAATGAAGTTTTTACACTACAAAACACTCTTTACATCCTAAGTAACTATTTAAAAATACGGTACTTAATAATTCCTAAAATTAAAATTTTAATAAACGGTACATTAGTGAAATTATTGTTGTCATTATTGTTATAAATGTTATAATATTGTTGATTAATATTTATTTTATTAATCATTTAAACTCAGTTGTATTGAAAATTAATTTTCATTCTGGCATATCATCATAGTATATTCTTAAGTTCTAAGAATCATAGTTCTTCAAATAGGAATTTGTCTTATGAATATGACTTATCTTACTTTTTTGACTCTAACGCATAATAAACATTCCATATTGTCTCACGTCCCATTTCTAATAAAAAGTAAGCTACCACACACACCATATATTTATAGTTAAGACTGAATATTTATGGTTTCCTATACTTATACAATCACACAAGGCACATGTATAACATATCATGTGTGTTTAATAAACACTGTTTATATACGAAAAATAAATTTTAATGCGCCACCGTTAAAATCTATAAAATGCATTATAATATGCGACAGTTTAATAATATATTTGACTACACTACGTAAAAATAAATATTTCTGTGTTAAAATATTCTATAGGACGCGTCCAACATGAACACGTGTTATAAATCATTTCGGAATTTTATTATACTTTACAAATATTACCAATAAATAGTAATTATATGATATAATATGATAAACATACCTACTATAATGCAACACTATGTACAACAGTTACATTGCATTTAGGGGAAATTTTAATTTAAAATTGTATCGTCAATAATAATAGACAATTACCGTACAATTATATTTTATATAAACACTGTGTAAATACTATTTATTTTTTTTTTTTTTTACCATCTCCATTAAAGCATGTACCAATTACGACACACTTTATGCTTATACAATATTACCTAATTGTAAACGAAATTATTAATCATCTAAACATATTGTATAAAAAATGTATTACATTTTATAC